ATTGGTTTGAAGGGAAAAACAAAACCAACCAATACAAAATCCCCAACACCATTCTGCTTAATTAAGACCTAAAGAGAAAGTGCAAACTTTTGATGCTTAATTGAAGCATGCTCTAGCCTGATGCATATTTAGTTATTATAATATGATAATTTTATCTTGTTGTACAAACTGCTCCCTTTGGGAACATGATTTAACACTGAAAACATACTGAGCTTATTGCATTGTTCATTATGAAAAATACAGAGGCTAAGAACCATAAAGAGATGTATATAAGCACTATATGTGCAGCAGTTGCAGGGAGCACTCTTTCAGCACCTAATGACATAACCCAGGAGCAGAAAAACACAAGATTGGAACTCCCAGAATAACTTTTCTGAAGAGCTGAGATCTCACTAAAATAGAGGCTGGAAATTCAGATCTCGAGCAGTAAATGAAATAAATGTGTGGTTCTAATACCTGGTGTGTTTATAGAAAACATCCGTGTGGATGTTCTGCTGAAAACTCACTTGTTACTACTTACTTTGTGCTAAGTCTTGCTTGTCTGATGCCTGTGAATACTGTCATTACCTTTGATAAATGTTGAGTGTAAAGTATAGTGGTATTGCTCAGCACCTCTAAAGAGGTGCTAAACACCTGGCAGGAATGGACCCCACGGGAGTAATACAGAGTTGGCAAAACAATTGAAGAGTTTCCAAAATTAACTTTATCTTTGTCTTACCAACTGTAAAATATGATGATATGAAGGCCAGATCTGCACTACGGACGTTACTATCATACCTGTGTCAGTCAGGGGTGCTCTGAGGTGTGATTCCTGACCAACAGAGCTGTACTCACAAAAGCCACAAGCGTAGATGCAGTCATGCTGGCAAAATTGTGGTTTTGCTAGGATAGCATATTTTGCACAAGTGGTCTGAAATAAACGAGACTGATACAAAATGCAGTTTTGACAGCATACATTGTGTCCATACGAGGAGCACTTTGTCAGTATAATATACTGGTATAGTTACACTGGAAAAATGCTCATTGTAGACCTGGCCTAATGTAATCATATAAAAGAATCTTGGAAAAGATTGAGGGTAGACAAGCCTCCTGAACATGTTCAGTTTTAGAGTCGCTTCTTTTCTGCGTTCTTGCTGTAAACTCTTGTCACTGAGTGTGCTAGATACTATGTATTGATACATTTTTCTAACAGAAGGGCAAGTATCTGGTAAATATAATTCTGAAGAATTTAGTCTTAGTATGAAATGAAGGTCTGTGAAAAAGTTATGGGAATCTTGACTTCTATGGAAGACTTAAACTACAGTTTTTGGAGCATTCCAGTTTCTTTTTAGAATAAGACAAAAAAAACCAAACAACCAAACTCTGTTTCTTACTATACAAAACCTTAATTGATATTTTTTGGTTTATTTCTCAGTGCCTTTGGTTTGTAATTACAGAAGTGGCTGAACTATTAGCTGTTTTAAAAGTTGTACTCTGCTTGTTCAACCATTAAGGTTAATATACTGTCATGTAAGGTTCCTATTAAATATTTTCACAAGCTCAATACAGTCTTGTAACTAAAGAAGAAGAAGAAGAAAATATGTGCACAAATCAGGAACTTTAATCTGGCCCCCAGCTTTCATCCACATATCCTGCCACATAAGCCACAGCACTTGGCTCTGCACCTGTCCTGATTTTATCCTGTGTACCTTTATCTGTCAGCCCTATTCGCTCAAAGCTAAAGAAATACATTGTTTTAGAACCGAGATTCTCTGACTGTGGTCTGTGGCCCACCCATTGGTGGTCCATGGAGAGCTGATCACATGGCACTGGCTCCTTTACTTACTTATTTCCACCTGGTAAATTGCATTAAGAGAAGTTAAAAATACATTATATACTTTCTTAGGGTAAGATTATGCCTTAAGGTATAGCCCTGAGCAAAGGGTGATGCCTTAGCTGCACTGTCCCAGGAGACATGTGCTTCAGAGATCCCTGAGCCACAGTTCCACCACTGCTGTTTGGAGCGTGGGAGTGTTTTACTAGTCCTTTACGGATGAAGCATTCACTCCCACCTTGTACCCAGCTAGTTTTGATGGGCAGCTTGTAGTGGGATTTATTTAAGACAGAGGAGGACAGTATATATATGGGAGTGGGCAGCTCCTATTCTTCCCTCTCTGCCAGGAGCTGGATGCAAGGCCTTACGTGGCCCCACAAGGAGGTACAGGAGAGCCTTACTCCACCTGCATGGCTGCAAAAAAACAGAGTACAACTGAGCCCCCCAGGGTTACTTTTCTCGTGGGAACAATTGCTGTTGTTGCCACAAGGATGTTATGTGATTGTAAATGGGTGGATAGGTGATCTTCCTGATCACCAGCGAGAGTGTGTTTGTTCACAGACAGGTGAGTGAGTGGTCCAGGAGACATTCTCTCTATTAAGATGTGGCCCACACTATGGAATAGTTTCAAAACTCATGTTTTGGAATTTTGTGCTCATTCTTTAAGTCCACATTGTTACAGAACCTATCTACTTTGGAAGTGAGTGCTCCCAGCAATTAGCCTCTTTGAAAGTAAGTTCTGCTCTCAGGTGATGAGTTCCCCTTTCAGCTCTTCTCTGCATTAATGAAGGTTGTTGCAAAAGGGAGCATCCGCACCTCTTCCATTTTCGGGCGTTGTAGAACAATCTAAGAGTTAATGCTCTTAAATTGGTAGGGGAAAATATGAAGTACATTCAGTGACTTTAATGTTGCACATTACTGTTTTCAGGTGCAAGAGGTTTTTCTTTGTTTTTATTGCTTCCCCGGCTCTTCTTTTGCCAGGTAAATTCAACAGGGCAAAATGATGCCTTCTAAAAGGAACAGGTTCACTAAGGTGGGAAAGGAGTTGTACTCTCTCAGAAACAATGCCCTTTCTAAGGCAAACTGCCCTCAGTGGGGGAGCATGATGGAAAGAGCTTCTTGACTCACATTTGAATAGATGTACTTAGTACTGCTGCCAATACAGCTCTGCTGGTTCACAGGGGAGGCCCGGGGCCATGACAACGCTAGGCAGCTCCTATTGCCAGTCTGCACTCCAAAGCATCCTGCAGCCAAAATTATAACTGCCCCCAGTGTGAGCTTCTTGATCCCATGCGTGGCTGGCTATAATTTGGCCCAAAGTAATTTGATTTCCGTTGATGTCAAATATGTTAGAACATTTATGAGATTTTGGCAAATCCCACTCTAAAGAGTAAGTGCTAAAATGTCATAATTATAGCATATTAAACACAAATCTACATTATGGCTTGGCCTTAAATATAGTTTTAAAGGTGTACAGTCTGATTCAAATTAAAAGGTCAAGTTTTTTACATTGTACAATTTTATTTGTAACTATAAAGCACAACACAATTTGTGGAAGGAAAAACATTATTAAACTGGCAGTATTTACTCTGCTAAGGTGAATAAAATGCAGCATGTAGTTCTGAGTTACGATAGCCAGGGGAAGGAGCCAAATCACTCGACTAAAAATTAGTTTGCCAATAATTTTGCAGAATGATGACAGCATTGCTTCAAAACAAATCCTTTACAGGGAAATGGGATGACTGCATGGCTGGCTCTCTGAATCATGAACTTCCCATCACTCCTGGACTGAAAATTGCTTTAACAATTAATCTTTTGGGGATTTCCCCCCCGCAGAAACCAGACAATAGTTAATATCAGTGACTGAAAAGTCATGTTGTCTAATGGACTGGATATAAGAATAGAATCCTTAGTTCTAAATCATGGGTTTGCCATTGATTTATTGTATTGCTTTGTACGAGTAACTTAACTGTTCAGTTTCTCCTTCCATAAAATGGGGATAAGACCTCACAGATCTCACAGTAGCGTTGCCAGGATTTGAAGATGAAAAGTGCTGTGTAAGCCTTATTATTATGGGGAATTTTCTTGCACTTGACTATATGAATCCAATTTAAAGCAACAGTCTAGGTACTTCCATACTCTAGATAGACAGAAACAACTGTAGGTAACAGCACAAAGAGCTAGTGGCAAAGAATGTAATTGGGGAAAGAAGTTGGAGGCTCCAGAGAACTGAAATGGTTAAATCAGTACAAGATGGTTGCTAGAAAATATTTATCAAATTAGAATAGAGACATGAAGAATACTGGAAAGAGGATGAGGACTGTGAGGTGAGGAAAATGGCATTGAATACAAAGCTGCACTCACTTTCTTTTGAATGATTGAAATGATCTCCCTAAAATTCAGGGAAATAACACCAAAATTAATGTAAATATTAAAAAGTTAAATCTCCACGTACATGTCAGAAGAACTCAAAACAGGGTCAAATAGCACATCTTAGAGAACTTTTGGTGAGTTAAAATGTACTCAACCATAATAAGAATTGCTTTGGAGATTTTAGGGTCACAATTAGGCAACTCCCCTCTCATTCAAATATGTATTTTTGTGTCAGTCTTACTCAGAGAAAACCTCCTCCCATTCTCTTCTAGTCATTATTTGGAATCAACACCCAAATGGGATATTTCCTTTTCCTTCCTCACATTCCATTTAGAATCCTGTTTGTAAGGGCCCTCATTACATTGCTCTGGTGCAGTAGCTTCCATGAGTATTTTATCATCTAGTTGCTGAGCAGAATTTTTCCGAGGCTCTTGATAATGGATTTTAAGTAACGGGAATATAACAGCATTAGTTACATTGGTCTTTAATGTTGGTTACTGGCTTAAAAAATACAGTTAGGCACTTTCTTAAACATGCTAAAAAGCCGAAAGGCCCTCCAGAGCTTTTCAGAGATGCACCATTTTTTAAGATAACCTTTTCCATCCATCTCAGAAGTTCTGCCAGTCTCCTGGTCTGATTGGCACAGGCTACCAGCTGCCTAGGGAACAAGTAGTTAATCACAAGCCTGCCTCTTTCTGCTCACAAAGAGTGAGGAAGGCAAAGTTACTGCAATAGAGTTCTGAGGTTAAGTGCATAGATGTCTGATTGGGTGTTTGAATCTGATATAAACATTATTTTTATATTTTTGTTGTAGAAGATGATGTGTCAAATGTACAAATAATGTGTGCCTGGTGCCAGAAAGTGGGAATCAAGCGCTATTCCCTGAGTATGGGAAGTGAAGTGAAATGCTTCTGCAGTGAGAAGTGCTTTGCAGCTTGCCGAAGAGCATACTTCAAGAGAAACAAGGTAAGAGAGCCAAAGAAAGATGTAACTCTACACAGGCCTAGCTCAGGTCTCATTTCATAGCTAGCAAAAAATATTTTTTTGGGTTCTTATGGTTTTGTCTGTTCCCTTTACCTTTCCATATGTATTGTCTGTTGGACTATCACCCCTTACTAATGTGTAACCTGTTTTCTCAGTTTCCCTCAGCTTGATGCCTGAGTTTTGTGAGGGTGGATGAATTTAATTAGACTATACTAATAATGCACTATAAAATAAGAATTATGGTTCTGCTCTGGAATCTTATTATATTTGCTCTATGTGTAAGACTAGGGGAGGGATCTTCATAGCTGTGTATAGGGAGGTAGACCTACAAGTCTTACTTTTGGTAGGTGGCTATATCTTGTGCAGCTGAAGTCAAGAGAAGTTTTGTCATTGATTTCAGTGGCAGCAGGATCACTGGCGATGGCATATGCAGTTAGGGCCTGACCCAAAGTGCAGTGAAGGCAATGGGAGTCTTTCCATTGACTTCAGTGAGCTTTGGATCAGGACCTTAGTTTCATGCTTTTAAAGTTTATCTTTAAATGTAAACAATTATGGACTTATTGCTTTAAAAAAACTCAGACATTTTGGTGTTATGTGTGGGGTAAGCAGTGACAAAACCATCTATCATAGCATGAGGATGTTTCCAATAATCTGAAAGATCATTTATCTCAAGTTAAAATGGAATTCTAATATTGGCTTGGTTTCCCAAAGTGAAATGACACAAAAATTATTCTAATCTGTAAAGTGCAGTGACTGAAGTTGCCCTGTAGTTTATTTTAGCAGCTGGTTTGTGCAGCAGAATATAGGGTGTTTCTGTTTTAAAAAACAAAAAGGGAACACCGCTGCAAAACACACCAACTTTTAATTGTTACAAAAAATAGCTATGGCAGTTTGATACTTATTAGTGTAATAGAGGAGTCCTTGGGTGAGACTCATTGATCTAGACAGCTTTATTTATTCATAAAATCCTTCACATTTTTGTTTCTTAAACCTACATATTTTACTCTTGTGCTGCAGAACATTTGAAGTCTGTCATCTTAAAAATAATCCCCCCTCCCCCAATCTGATATTTGAATCTATAGTTTAAAAAAAATGGATTTTAGATGCAAGAAACATTGTAGCTTCAAATTACCCTCCTTTATAAATTTGGGTCACATCATTCTACCCCCCCCCCCAAAAAAAAAAAGTCTAAAGAATTAGGTTGTAAAAATCAGCAGAGTGGAATTTTAGTGGCAGTCTTTGAGAATCAAGCGCATAATGTTTACTGGAGCAGATAGGCAAGTTAAACAATCATGTGGAAGCTTCTGTGAAGTGTAGTGTTTATCTCTTTTTATTTGGAGGATGTGGGGTGGGTAGGCAGAAATGCACCGAAGATACTCCATATCTTATTCAGCTGCAACTCCCCTGGCTTCCAGTGACAGGATTTACTTGAGCAAGGAAGCACACAGGAACATAGGAATTGCCAGTTGTCCATCTAGCGCAGTACTGTATGTCTGACAGAGGCCAGTACCAGATGCGTTAGGGGAAGGGGCAAGAAATCCTGTAGAGGACAATTATGGAATTACTAATCCACAGTGGGGCCTAAAACCCATGTGTTAGTCTTTGGCTTATGCCATGAAGCAGGGGGCTTATATCCCATCTAAAAAACCTTTTAAAAAGATTCTACTTAATGTAATTATGGATGTTGTCATTATCCATATCAGTGTGTCATCCTGTTATGACTAAGAAAATAGGATCCAATTATATTTTGTGGCCATAAGAGAGACAGATTAATCATGTATTATGTAAATAAATATTCCCTTTACCAGCTTTAAATTTGTTGCCTGTCAGTTTTGTTGGATGTTCCCTTTTTCATGTATTATAGGAAAGGGTAAAGGGAAGTGCCCAATATACCTTCTTTGTATCATTCATTCTTTGCATCAGATATGTTATCATATCATCTCTGTTTGTCTCCTCTGTAAACTAAACAGTCCCAAATATTTTGAATCTCTCCTCAGACAGAAACCTCTGCATACCTCTAAGCCTTTTCTATAGATCTCAAGAACAAAAGAAGTTCTTATTCTTTTAAATGCACATTTCACCACAATAAATTGCTCTACGCTTTTCTCAAATAGGTCACAACAGTAACTGATTTTCTTCTGTAAATATTAAGGATCAACATGTGTCCTACTTTCCCATTTGCCTTGAGGAATTAAGACATGGCAAGGCAACACAATTGACAGCATTTGGATCATTGCTTAAAAGCCTTATTTAAGTTAAAGGACCAAATTCCGCCCTCGGTTACACCTGTAAGAGCCTGTGGCTGCATGAGTGAATCTGAGACCTGAACCTGGCCCATACGTTATTTTAAATCTAGAACTTTCTATCACCTCTATATTCATGGTGTTCCAGATGAACAAGCACAGGATGCAATACTCAGGGAATTTTAATGCTGCTATTCAAGTTAGGCAGGTTCAGTAGAGTTCAGCAGGCCCTTATTATTTTTCACTTCACTCTAGCTAATAGAACAGGATTTTGAGAAACACGGCACAAGATCAAAGTCATAGAGTTTAAGGCCAGAAGGGTCCACCAGATCATCTAGTGTGACCTTGTGCATACCATGAGCCAGTGCTTAATTTGTGTCGAGGCTTGAGCCCTGGCACCTCTGGGCTTGCCATGTCAGTTATGAAAGTTAAAAAAAAAAAAAATCGCTTGATCCCTGGAAGTTAATTGTTTGAGTTTCAGCATCTCTTTCATTACAAATTAAGCACTCCCATTAGCCCACGGTATCACTCAGCACCTGTACACCTAACCCAACAACCAAAATTAGACCAAAGGATCACAGCCCGCAGAAGACTATTGTTATGTGCAAGGCAGGCAGAGAATAGGAGGGACTGAGGTGGACCAATGCCCTATGCCCCTGCAATTGCAGGGAATTGATTAATGAGATATCCTCAGTTAATCCCAGCAAGAGACGCATTCTATGCGCTGCAGAGGAAGGTGAAAATCCCCAAGGTCACTGCCAATCTGGCCTGGGGGAAAATTCCTTCCTGACCCCTCTTAAGGTGATCAGCTAGATGCTGAGCATGTGAGCAAGAGCCAGCCAGCCAAGCACCTGAGAGAGAATGCTTACTGAGAGCACTCTCCCACGCTGTCCAGTGTCCTATCTGCCATGATGGCCATCCCTGATGCTTCAGGGGAAGGAGACCAAAAACCCCACAGAATACATTGCAGGGAAAAACATCCCTTCCTGACCCCTGCAGGTGACTGGCTGAAGTCCTGCCATAAAACATAAACTGGAAGGGACCCCCACGCTCTCAAGTTTTGCCCTGCTCCGCACATCACAAGCAACCCCATCATGCAATCCCACTCATAAATTTGTCAGCCCTCTCTTTAAACTCATTACATTGTTTGCCCCCAGAATTCCTACTGAGAGGCAGTTCCAGAACTTCACTCCTCTAATGGTTAGAAACCTTCATCCAATTTCTGGCCTGAATTTGTTCATGGTCAGTTTATATCCATTTACTCATGTGCCAACATTGTCTTTTAGTTTAAACAGCTCTTCACCTTCCCTGGTATTTACAAGTAACAAGGCTGCAAAAGTTTCAGGTATACCCAATGACCTTTTAAACTCTTATTACTAGTCTGGCCATGTACCTGTCTTCTCCACGAGTCTAATGTTTATTTATGTATTTGAAAAGTTACACCACTCTACAGCTTCTCATTTTTCAAACAGGAGTAAAATGGTCACATTTCACCTGCCTTATGCATGTTTTAAACAGCATATCTTTGCAACAATATAGTGTTGTATTACAATAAATATGTACAGCTGCTGTATTTCAGTGAGCTGATAGGACTTTGTGGTCATTTCATTTAAGGCTTGAATTTCCTAATGGATTGTATTAAGCAGTCTTCCCCGCTCCCACCCTGGCTAAGAACTGCTATAATAAGCACTTGCTTAAAACTGTAGGACTGTTCAAACAGTAAAGAATAAATCATCATTCATGTCTCAAAACATTATAAAATAATGATGCAAGTTATACACATCTTAATACCAATTGCTGCACATAGAATTAAGATTATCTCAGCATTTAAATAAAACAAAAATCCTCTCCAATACATTTGGCAAATGTAGGCTCTGATGTGCTGCTCTCTTTACAAATTCCCAGTTGGGTTAAAGTCTGGGAGGAAACCAGCTGAAAGCACCCTATTGAATGAAATCTATAAGGAAGGCACACAAACTCTACAAAAGCACCATTAATGTGCAGCTGTATGTTGGAGGTGCATAGTTGCATGCACACTACAACACCACCTGCACCCTCACGTGTACTATTCCTGCCAAGAGTTGCAATAGTCTGGATAACAGGAATCATTGCTAGACTATGGAATGGACTTACATTGCTGTATGCCCAAGTCATAGGTATGTATTGATTCTCCATGAATTTTGTCACAGAGGGCTTTTAGAACAGCAACACCTGGGTAGCAATCCTCAACCTTGTGCTCCAGCTGCAGTGCAGGTATATATGACAGATAAATATAGTGAGACCCAACCACAATATGACTCTTGTCTAAATTACTAATAATAAATGAATAAAAGAAAGTTCCGTATTTTTTCTACCCCTTTAGGCAGAGAGATTAAACGTTTAGATTGTTTCTGCATCTGAACTCTTGTTCCTGTTTTGTCTGCTATACATAGTCAAATGTACACCGTGAACTAGTGCATAATGATAACCTGTTGTGCATAATAATACCAATTAAAAGCAATGTTGCAAGAAAGGGAGTTTTTCATCCTACTGTTTGTAAATGAACAGATTTAGGGTTAAAGCTGTTCCAGTGCTCCCTTCCTTATAGATTTCATTCTATCGACTAGCCAATGTAAGTCCAAGAATCACAGCAGCACATTGCAAACCCACTGGCCCACAAGTTTCAGGATATTACATTTAAAGAAAATATTGAATTCATAATTAGACCACTGAGTCTGAAGCCTGAGAAGATTAATTTTT